TCACAGTCCACACACTCCACTGATGATTCACCGAGTCACAGTCCACACACTCCACTGATAATCACCGAGTCACAGTCCACACACTCCACTGATGATTCACCGAGTCAACGTGAGTCCACACACTCCACTGATGATTCACCGAGTGACAGTCCACACACTCCACTGATAATTCACCGAGTCACAGTCCACACACTTCACTGATAATTCACCGAGTCACAGTCCACACACTCCACTGATAATTCATCGAGTCACAGTCCACACACTCCACTGATAATTCATCGAGTCAGTTTCAACAAAGATCTGAAAACAAATTTCATGCAAGGTTGACCATAGATATTTCGGCCTGTTCTGTTCATGCTATAACTTCTGGTTTTGCTACTCTTCGATGTTTAAACCTAAGTTTCCAAAACTTTTTGAATGAAGCACGCATTATGAACTGTATTCCAGAAACATTTGTCATGCAAAGGAGACTGGTTAAAAATGGGGTCTTGTTTTGCTTAATATCTGGACTTAATGATAATTTTAGATACACTATCATATGAACCCATGAAGAACATGCACTTGACCACGGAGTAAAACATGCCTATGCTTGCTATTCGGTATGGGTTTTGCTCCTTGTTGAAGACCGTACGGCGACCTTTGCTTACTTCAAGTTATATATATAACACGCCCTTTACGAATTAACGTATTTCACGCACGAAAATCGAAGCTTTGAGGGATTTAAATATCATACAGTTAATGAGTAAGGCGTGGATATATATGATTTGTAATATTTATGGTTTAATGCTGACAATGACACTTAGCTGTACTTTTCATGAATTAAATATGTCAATCAATCAGTGACGCTCAAAACATCTCTTATTTTTAGAAAATGATTACATATGACATCTTTTCAGTAAGATTTTATTTCAGAAATGAATTATTGGCGTGGGATTTACACTTGAAATCAAATGTCCAGGGATAAATATTTGACGGAGATATACCTGTGTAAAGTGGAAGAAATGACTAAACGTCCAGTAACATATTGTTTACATCTTCGCTAGTCAAGGGTAACGATCCAGTCCCCTCCTCTCCACTGGTTCGTAACCCTTGGCTAGCGAAGAGGATTGTTTAGGAATATTTATTCTGATACGATAAAAACAGGTATCCAACCAAAATGCAAATGTCTCCTTTAACACACTGGGTGGGGTCGCTATGAAAAGGGGAAAATCGAAGACATGGTATCCCCTACACAATATTTTTTAGATATGTGCGACCTACATTTATCTGTAATTAGTTTTCTTCGTTTATAGATTTCTATACCACGTTTGTTTGTTTCGTCTTGTAGCTCCCCTCGGTCATTCCGCCATTTATCTTAAGTTTAGGAAACCAATGCTTTAAGTAAGTGTTTGTTTAGGAGTTTGACCTGTGGTAGGGTAGGGTATGGATTTGAATAACTTTGAATTCTCTGTTCCCTATCCGAATTTATATTTAGATAATTTGTTGTGTATGCATTTTATTTAAATTTATGGGGAAATTTTAAAAAGATGATTGATATTACATTCTATTTCATTCTTTCAGTATTTACTAGTCCAAGGAGGCGGAGCTAGACAGTGCAATAATAACTTATCAAGTGAAAGTTAGAGCACTTGTCTATTTCACCTCCCATTATTTGCTATTCCTGTGAGAACGATCAACGGCGGGATTGGAGAGTGCAATAACTAAAAAATAATTCAGTTAACGCACTCTTCTAAAAATAATAGAAGTGAAATGAAAAATAACAAAAATACCAAACTCCAAGGAAAATTCAAAACGGATAGTCCTTTATCAAATGGCAAAATCAAAAGCTCAAACACATCAAACAATTGGAAAACAACTGTCATATTCCTGACTTGGTACAGGCATTTCCGTATGTAGAAAATGGTAGATTAAATCTGGTTTTATAGCTAGCTTAACCTCACACTTGTATGACAGTCGCATCGAATTCCATTATATTGACAACAATGTGTGAGCAAAGCAAACAGACATAAAAGGTAGAAATATCAAAAATTGGGGTCCAGCAGATCTTAATCACTATAAAGACAAATAATTTTTTCAACAAAGAAAATTAAAAGGCATAAACTCACTTAGAGATCAAAGGAAAAATCATATATCATTACAATGTCATTTGGTGTCTGGTGGAGAGTTATCTAATTGACAATCATACCAGGTTTTCTTATATTTATATGGTAAAATCTGTATAAACGATATTTTTACTTACTAAAATTAAATAGTGTCTGGTGAAGAAAGATCGCGATTATTGGAGGATGGTTGATTCATCAAAGACTAACACCGCCACATGTGCATGCGTCTGTCCGAAGTCGGACAGCTCGTCCTCGGTTGTCTTGTATCTTGCCATTTTTGTCATTTTAGTCTCTCGAATGTGACTTGAGGATGATAATCAGGGCGAGCGGCGACTGCGGCTTTTAGTAATTTTATAAACCTTAAACGTGATTTCAAAAGGTAGACGAGCTTGATAATCCAATTCTGTTAAAATATAGCTTATGGTCTGAAATATTCGTCTGGCTTATTTCACTTGACCTCATTTTCATAATTCAGTGATATTAAAAAATAAGCATCAAGTGTTCGTGCTAAGGCTTATAGTTTTGTATAATTACCTCTACGTGTATGTTTCATACTTGAAGCCGTACTTTTGATTGGCTGAAAGCTGAAAGCAATCGCGAGACATTTCAATATCAAATTGTATTTCTTAATAGAATTCAACATTCATGACAGCACGTGCTAGTTTAAATATACATTATTGTCAAAATAAATAGACAATATATGTACATTGTCAGAAAGTATTAAATTCATTTGTACGAGCTTTAGAAACAGGACGAAAACGAGGCTCGTCGAGCTTTTCTCCTGTTTCGTAATGTGTACAAATACATTTCAGAATATTTCAGACAATGTACATATATTGTTTTATCCTGTAATTTACACCACCCAGCACACTTGAAGCTTTAGTTGTTCAAATCCAAATCATCGTCTGTAATTAAAAAAAAAAGACATAGTTAAAACGCAGACCGGGAAGAGGACCCCAAAATGAAGTGTTACGCAAAAAGAAATATCCACATTATTGCTGCTCAACATGGAAGCGGGGTAACAGGAGACTATATTTGTGAATATTACTTTTACTGTTTAGTCTATTTTTGGTGATATTCATTTGACGTGGCTCGGTACTTTAAATCCCGTCATTGTATGTTCAGTAGTTGTCGTTTGTTGATGTGGTTCATAAGTGGTTCTCGTTTTATATATAGATTAGACCGTTGGTTTTCCGTTTGAATGGTTTTACACTAGTAATTTTTGGGGCCCTTTATAGCTTGCTGTTCGGTGTGAGCCAGGGTTCCGTGTTGAAGACCGTACTTTGACCTATAATGGTTTACTTTTATAAATTTTGACTTGGATGAAGAGTTGTCTCATTGGCACTCATACCACATCTTCTTATATCTATTGTGTTTTTGTGCTATGGTAAATTTTTGTATTCTTGTCTTTCATTTTTTTCTAATGTGCTTTGTCTATATGCCTTTTTGTGTTTCTTTGTTGACACATTTGTTTTTATAGTGATTAAGATTATAACCCAATGTTGACTGCTGTACCCCTATTTTGACATTTTTACCTATTATGTCTGTTTGTTTTGTTCACACATCGTTGTCAATATAATAGAATGTTATGCGACTGTCATACAAGTGGGAGGTTTAGCTAGCTATAAAACCAGGTTTAATCCACCATTTTCTACATAAGAAAATGCATGTACCAAGTCAGAAATATGACAGTTGTTATCTATTCGTTTGATGTGTTTGGGCTTTTGATTTTGCCATTTGATTAGGGACTTTCCGTTTTGAATTTTCATCGGAGTTCGGTATTTTTGTTATTTTACTTTTTGTACAAGAACAAATACAGCAAAATTTTATTTGTGTACCTGTTCTTTGTACAATTGTTGGCTGATTGCAGGATTAGTCAACATAGATTACAAGCGGACCACGAAGAAAACTCCTAAATGAACTGTTATCCATAAAGAAATGAAATATTGACAATACCGTTTGCTCAATATGGAAGCGGAGTAACAAGAGACTTTATTTGTACAAGTACAAGTACAAATAAAGCAAATATTTATTTGTATACATGTTATTTAATTGAGGTGTCAGTAACTGCACAAATCATGTTTAACCCCGCCGCATTTTGCGCCTGTTCCAAGTCAGGAACATCTGGCCTTTGTTAGTCTTGTATGTTTTTTTTTTTTTTTATTTTGGTTCATTTATATGTTTCAGAGTTTAGTGTTACGTCCATTTTCTCTGAACTTATATAATTTAATTGTTATAATAGGCAATCACAGCATTAACTGAACCTTTAAACTGATTTAAAAATAGATGTTTTCTTCAAGAAGAAGATGCCTACTAATTACGACATTAATATTAAAAAGGTGATTGATAAGGCATTTTTTTTATCCCCTTGATTTTCAAGCAACACCCTTTAGACGTTAAAACAAGACGTTAACAGACATTTCTTAAAGTAATATTACTGAATGTATGTCTTGCATATTTGATTTCAGCTTATTGCCAAGATCCGGCCTTTCATAATTAGATATGAGCAAAGCCTTACTAACATATTAATCCCGGCTCGCCATATTCTTTAAGTGCCTGCCCAAAGTCAGGAGCCTGTAATTCAGTGGTTGTCGGTCAATATTGGTTTTCGTTCATTGCAGTGGTTCATTGTTTTCTCATAAATCAGGCCTTTGGTTTTCTCTTTTGAATTGCTCAACATTTTTTCATGCCGGGCCTTTCATATCGACTATATTTACGGTATGTATTTTGTTCATTGTTGAAGACCGTACGGTGGTCTATATAATTGCTTACATTCACATCATTTAGACTCTGATGGATAGATGTCTCATTGAAAATCAATAAATATCTCCTTATTTTTATATCAAACCACCAAAACTCCTTCAATGATTTGTGGTGAAATAAAAGATAACCCTTCCATTCATTAGAAATCCTCTTGTCATCAATCACCCAAGGACATACATCTATAACATTTAGAATACTAATTTGCCTTTTCCAATTGAAAATATTACTCAGAATTAAATTTAACAGGACATGCGACTTCTCATTTAACCGTGACGGTCAAAAGAACACACTGTAATTTAAATATCAAGACGTATTTTCACTGGTCTTTGGAACTGGTTTCAGAATGATTGCCATCAATTTGGAATCATCAGGATTATTGACATTCAAATTGAGTGCTAGATTGTTACCACGGGAACAGACAAATGTTGGAACTTGTTCCACTTGAATGACTTTTTCGTCTTCGTCATAGACTATAACGCTTGCCTGGACCCTTGCTTCCCCATTGACGGTAGCTGAATCGTGACAGAATATCTGCAGCGTCCAGCTGTCTCCGTTCTTTCTGTATGTTATTTTCCATTCGCCTTCCCGTTTGTCTGTAGGTACAGGTCCTGCATACGTTTTAACGTCAACCTGGATTCCAAAACGAAGAGTATTTTGCATTCGAACGGTGTCCACAACTAAGTCCAAGTAATTACGAGGTAGGTAAAAAGGTTCGTTAAACATAACATCGAGTTCTCCCTGCGATGGACATAGTGATCTAAATCTGTATGCCTTACAAACAAGACTATTTAACACATCCTTACATTCTTCCTGTTCCACGATATCGGAGTTTTCAATCTGATACAACTGATTAACAGTCATTTGTGGAAATCTAATCAAAGGGAATAACTTATTCGCATTTTCTCGTAGATCAGACCTATGGCTCTCGTGAAATAGCCATTGAAGAAGGGACTCGTACAAGAGGTATTCATTTTGAAGAACCAAATCTTCGTTTCTTAATAGATCAGACACAAAATCAAAATCCATTCCAGGCCATTCTTTTAATTTAAGTAAAGTGTCTGTATTCCATGCTATAGTTTGAGCACACTGTTGTATCAATTCTGTTAGACCTAAAGCTTTAGACCATGCATACCATGACAAAGCATTTTTGACTTTCGGTGATTTGGCTTTTTCAATCATATACTGTGTACATAGATTTTTGAGTGATGTTACACAGTATTTATCTGCCAAACAAAGAATACCTACAGACGACTCCACGGTCACAGATATATCGGCAGTATAAAAATAACGTAAAAATTTATCAAAAACGGCACGGCATTCTGGAGTCTCACTAAGCGCTAGTTCTGTTTGATTGTCCTTTGACCAGTTGTCATCGTAAAGCATTGCACGAAACACATCACTATCTTTGGCCAGCACAAACTTGTGAGCGGAGTATGAATCGTCACCTATGTTTAATGTTATATCACGAAGATCTGTCTGACCATAAAATTTAGAAATATTTTCTATGAAACTTCGTTCATCTTTTAAATTTGTCTCATGCTCATCATCATTCTCTTGCTCGTGTTCTTCCATTTTCTAGAAAAAAAGGAAAATTTTGTTAACCATTTTTATTTTTATAAATTCTTTGTTGCAAAACAAACAAAAACCAATTTTGGTCATAGCAATACAAACACAAAACAAACATAAGAAAACCTCAGCAATATTAAGATACCTGAACAGTTATTGGTCTCCTTTCCTCGGTTCTAATGACTCTTTAATAATAGAAACGACTGCTTTACTATCATTGGGTGTTGATGCATTTACTAAAATCGCGAGTGTATCGGTTTAAGTTTTAAGTGTATTAAAATTGGTACAGTTTTCTCTATAATTTTTTTGTTAATTTTACAGTTAAAGAAAAAATGGAATTCATCATCTAATATTTTACAAATTTTACATTTTCTTTCATTTCTTGATATTTCTGTATACTAGTATCTTCCAGTTTCTATTAAAAGACAATGATCGCTTATTCTATACATTTGGTTAACATTTTTCTTGTTTCTTTGTATGGGTGAGATAGATGGTATTCCATTTGGTTATTTATATTAGATTTAAGAAATTTATATAGATATATTTTATTATTTTCATTCAGGTTGTTTATTTTATCATTAATAAGAGTTTGATAATAGTTAATAGAACATTTTTTTAAATTTGGGTGTAACTTTTTAGTCTGTTTTAAAGTTTAAGCTTTTTCAACAAGTTTGATGTCAATATTTATTTCTTGTGACACATTTTTTGCAAAAGTATTCCAAGAGTTTGTTCCTTCAGTATGTAATTTTTTAGTAAGGGTAAATGCTTCATTAAGAAGTGGGTTTAGATTTTCAATATTTAATCTAAATAGGTACATCATGGTTTGGGGTTTTATAAAAGTGTCTAATGGCAGAAGTCCTAGTTCATTTCTTACAGCTAGAATTGTTGAGCTTCTTTTTTTCCCCAGTGCTTGTTTAACAAAATGCAGCTGTTTTTTTTTCTAAAATAGTTTTATCAATAAAATGAAAGACGTCTGGTGTTAAGTTATTTTTATAGGCTCGCAATTTAGCTCTATACACTGATCGAATACAAGTGTCCATATAACATATTTAACTATTAAAAGTTAGTATAGGTTAAACCAATGTTTCAAAAAGATTGCAGGACACTCTCACAGGAAGTTGTCCAAAACCTGATGAGTACGAACTAATAGCAAATAAAACTTTTCTTGCCTTTTTTGCAAGATCTGAACTACAAATAGTTAAACTACCATTAGATGTTATAACAATATTTTTAATAGAAAAAAACATAAGTATAAATTATATTAATAAAAACACATAAAGTAGTAGTAAAATATGTTAAACCAAACTAAAGGCTTCCATGCAGGGGCATGATGTCGCTAGAATACAAATATGAAATTAAACCTCCATCATTTCATAACCGATTTAGTAGATAACCTCGAATATTTAACACTTGTAGCCAGAACACCGCTTTCTTCCTCAATTATGACATCATCGGATACGACTTATCACCAGGTGGATCCAGGATTTTTTAAAGGAGGGGCGTAATTGAAGAAATCCCAATAAATACTGCCTAGCGTATATATTCCAATCAAAGGGGTGTACGACCTCTACGTCCCCCTCGCCCCTGATCACCGACATTTTACTTGCAAAGGATTACACGACGGTGTCACCTATGCAGGAACTGTTTACCATTCCAGAGCATTAAGAAATTATCCACGTCAGCCATGGTACCAGAAGTAAAGGTAGGCATGGCCTCTACTATGCATGGTTACAGTGGTAGAGGCAGACATGGTACGAGAGGTAGAGGTATGCATGGTACCAATGGTAGAGACAGACATGGTACCAGACGTTATGCATGGTCCCAGCGGTAGAGGCAGACATTGTACCAGACGTAGTCTAGAGGTATGCATAGTACCAGAGGTAGAGGCAGACATGTTACCAGACTTAGAGGTATGCATGGTCCCATATGCAGAGGCAGACATGGTAATTTTGATGTGTTTCCCGGTGCTTTTGTGTTTGATTTTTTTCCTATGTTCATTTTGACACAAATCTCTTACGATTTATATGACAATAAACTATTCATTTATTACCTTATCGGAGATATTTAACAAGAATGACCACATGTATTTTTTCCGATATAACTCAACTTCATATAAATAGAAAATATAAACACGACTTTGCGAAGTAACTTACCAGAACCAAAGGTTTTGGAAACTTCATAAAAGGTATGTGGTCAAGTTTCTAATGTTAAGAATCGTCACATAAATTCAAATAAAACACCAAATACTACTTACTGAGGTATAGTTCGTTCCTTAGAAGTCATTGTGTAAATAAAAGAAGTCATTAAAATGCGAACAATCAGTAGTATATAATACTTTACAAGACCAGTGGAGTGTGGAAGGTTAAACACCTCAAGTCAAGTAAACGTCAAACAATGCATATCTTTTTGGGGAGAAAGAGTAACGCAAATTTCCCCTGTATTTATTTCACTACAGAGTCATAATCAAAAAGTAATTAAAACCTACTGGAATATGAATTTAAAGAGTCTTTATAATATATATATTTGAAATATTAATCAACAGTTTTACATTTTCCACTACATCAAAATGTTATTCTGTTCTATATTTTGCTCTTGAAGGCAATATATATTTTGCATTGAAGGAAGTCATTAACCAAATTACGCTATTCAGTCTATACAGCAATTTACTTCCTATAGAATTTGGGGTTTTGGTTTAGGAAGTTCTTATCTATTTTTTTTTTCTACTAAAAATTTCCCCAACTTTATCAAAAAATTATTATTTTTACGCATATGTAATTTGGTCATACGTCCAAAAATAAGCCATAATATTGTTAAAACCTCAAAGTACTCACGCGAAGCTGTCCAATTCAATTTTTTTCTTCTTCATACACCAAACATTTTCTAAAGTTGCTATTTTATTGTATGCATATGATACTGTATTGTTTGCAGAAAAAAGAAACGATTTACACAATTCACTTAAATTTTCAATGTAAAGAGTAAGGCACACGAAGGTACATCACATTTAGTGTTTGATACCCTGGTCTGATCAGTTATGTTAAGTTATGGTGCAGCTATCTGCGGCACCAGCGATTTTTCATGAATAATGCTGTCCAGCACAGAGCTATCAGGTTCTTTATGGGTTTCGGCAAACATACCACTAACGATGCAATCAAAAGGAACTCATAGTGACGGTTTAGCGTTTTTAGACACTGGGCTAGATGTAATATAATATGCAAAGATAGACTGAATTATAGAATATTTTAAATGGTGGCACAGAAATACTGTGACTTGATTGTAAGTGTTGCTCTCCACCTATTGCAGTTTATAAAAAAATTCTGACCAAATTGCGATTTATTTTATCAAACCATACTGTTCAACTGGTCAGAAATTTTAACAAACTGCTGAAGAAATACAGTCAAGTGACGAAAGTGCAAGTTGATAAAATAAAGCATAGTTTACAATCCTATAAGACTTAAATTCCACTTCAATGATATTATGATAAATCAGTCTAACAATTTCTATGCAAATTTTATTGTAATTGTCATGCAAAGGGTGATTGTTAGTAATTTTTGAATTGCTAAAAAAATGTCCAAATTTAAGTTTTTGAATACTTTCTTTTAAAATGGTGTTTTTCTATGCATGCTATAAAGCTTTCTTTCATTAATCTCTAAAATACTTGGTGAAATATTCTTGAAGCTTAAATATATTCTCTTGAAGTTTTAAATGAGATAAGATCAATATTTCAAAAGATCAATGATTTTAGATTATCTCCCATGGAAACTTATTAACAACGTATTGTAATTTCACATGTATTTTACTGAACATAAGATGTTTTCAAATGATTCTTATGAATATAGAAGACTTTTCGCATGAAAAATTGTATGAAAGCTTAGTTTGGACATTTTTTATAGCAATTCAAAAATTACATCCTATCACCTTTAGCATGACAATTACAATACAATTTGTATAGAAATTGTTAGACAATTTTTTTCATAATATTTAAGTCTTATAGGATTGTTAGTATGCTTTATTTTATCACCTTGCACTTTCACCACTTGACTGTGTTTTCTACAGCAGTGTGTTAAAATTTCTGAACAAGTTGAACAGTTTGGTTTGATAAAATAAATTGCAATTTGGTCAGAATTTCAAATAAATTGCAATATGTGGAAAGCAACACTTACAGTCAAGTTATAGTAATAACACGAGAAATTGGTGGTATAGAATTATGACAAAGTTTAAATAGTGTAACTTTGGCTTGTATACTAATCGGTAAAAAGATAGTTTACAAATAGAAGATGATGTATTCGACAAATATAAAGATAAACTATTGATACAGAGAAATGTCTCGCCTGTCGGCAGAAAATTCGAAAAAGACCATCTGATGGACATCAACATTGCTAATTAATTCAAAGTCTCTGGGCCGTGACCTAGGGGACAGGACCTCGAAATAGTAGTCAAACTGATATGTACTGATAGTTATGCAACTTTACAGAAAATTTCATACATCTATCACAAGTATAGTTCCTATCAAACTGACAGAAAACTTAACATTGAAAATTGCTAATCAATTCAGTCACTAGACTATGGCGTAGTGTAAGCAAAAAACTTAACAATTGTTAACACCGCCGCCGCCTCAGTAAAAGCAACACCTATGTCTTGCTTTCCGCAAGTCGAAGGCGAGACAAAAACTGGAAAGAAAGAATATTGCCACAAAATTTAGCTAAACTTACGAATTTCTAAATTGTTTAAAGTTAATTTTGGAAATAAATTATTAAGTCTAAGACTATTTCATACAGACATAGAAGTGTGTGTGTGCAAAATTTAGATATAGAGTAGCCTCGTTAAGATAAGAAATATGACAATGTAAATGAAAGAGTATGTTTTCTATATGTATAAATGATAAGATTGAAGATGAGAAACATGTTATCACTGGTTAAGAGGAGGGTTGGGTGCCCGCTAACATGTGTAATCACGCCCGCACATGCATTCTGTATGTGTCTGTCCCAAGTCGGGAGCCTGTTATTCGGTGG